TGATGATGAAAATAATTAAAAGTTTAATGCGAGATCGGAAAATCAGTACAGTCGGAAGATCATGTGACTGCGCCCTCGATTGGTGGTAATGCTGGATTTGCTATAAGTGAATGCCTTATGTTCATCTATTTCAATTCCGATTCCATTCTGATAACAACATCCGACATTATGTATTCCATCAATATCACCCATATCAGCGGATTTTTGATAATAAATGAACGCTTTATGACTATCCTTTTTAACACCAGTTCCTCGTTCATAACAGCAGCCAACATTATAAGTTCCACTAATATGACCCATATCGGCAGCTTTTTGATAATAAATGAATGCTTTATAATCATCCTTTTCAACACCAATTCCTTTTTCATAACAAACACCAACACAAAATTTTCCTTCAGCTATTTCCATACCAGAAGACTTTTGATAATAAATAAATGCTTTATGCTCATTCTTTTCAACCCATTTACCAAAACGATAACAAATTGCAAGAATAATTAGAGACATAGGATTAGTTTGATTATCTAAGCACCAATTAATAATATTATCAGGATTTTGCTTCTTTTTTGCTAAAAATTGATCTAATGAATTAATTATTGAATCCGAATCGTTACATTTTAATCTTTCTTCATTGTAAAGATTATATAATTCTTTAACAATTTCGCCATAAAAATTTAAAGAGTTATTATCTTTTAAACATAATTGATTAAAATTACCAGTTATTTGAGTAATATCATTTGATGAATTGACAGTTTTTTTTGGATGCTTTGATGTTAGGTTACTTGGCATTGTTTTTTAAAACCGAGAGAAATTGTTATGGAAACCGTTATATAAACAATTTATTCGTACAACGGGGAGCTTTAATATTTTTTTTTGCTAACCTATATTTAGATATTTATGTAACATATGATTAACCTTTTAATATTTATTGAAATTCTCGACAAACCAGTTTGGCAAACGTTGGCACGAAGAATTGGAAAGGACCTTTTTAGTGCGCTCCTGAAAAAAGTTATAGAATTAATTAGTGTTCCGTCCCGTTGATTCTCACTTCTCGAAATACTATTTCCCGACCCATAATTCAGATCCTGACAAGACATATTTATTTCGCCGATAGAAAAGTTACTGAATGTTTTTTCCATTTCCCCAACAATCTTAGCTTACGCAAGAAGTTTACCAACAATCTTTTTCGCCGTCAAAACTCTTTCCAAACTTCTGTTTCTCCGACAAATATATTTCGGTAAAAGTGCTTTAGAAATTAGAATGTCAGAAAAATGTATCATTCGGAAAATGACATTTCGACAGAATGGGCATTCGGTTTTTAATATTCAGTGAAATGGCAGGTGACTAGAGATGTGAACTGTGAATTACAGTACATATGAATAAACTGTAGTTTATTTTTTACAATAAACTATAATTTACGGATCGCACCTCTACAGGTGATTTATCGAGAATATTTATATCGAAATCATGTCTTGTTAGTAAAATGGATTGTCAGTATTATCAGTATTATGAAATGGTAATTCAGTGAAATTGATTACTTCCGTCCTCTGTAGATCCAAGTAGATTCTCTAATTCAAGTCGCTTAATTTTCAACTACATGCTGTCGGCTTTTATTTTCCCAGTCCAAAATATCCCTTTGACAGCGTACAGATAATGACCAAAGGAATATCCTGGACCATTAATTATTGATATGTCCAAGTTCATTAATATTTCGACTAACTAAATATCAATAGCTTCTCGCCTCTCTCTACTCACGATTTATATATTAGTATCTATACTGTATAACATCTTATACACACCTCTACAATTTTTTTAAAGTATATCAAAAATGAAAATTTACACTTATACTGTATAAAAGTTTTTAATTTAATAAACTTTTTTTTTTTTTTTTTACTTAAAGTTAATTATGCTTTTTTTTTCTTTTTATATATATATTCTCTAAGTGTTGTTTAACTATGGGACGCCGAGTAGGCGTACTTGATTACGCTCGCTTTTAAAATAACGCCTTTTTTAGATTTTTTTATAAACAAATCTTCTAATTGAGAAGTCAAATATTTAAATATATAAAATGTATATTTTATATATGAAATTTTAAAGCTAACTCTCGATTAGAAGATTTGCTAATAAAAAAATCTAAAAAAAATTCTAAAAGTATAACTAATTTACTTTAATTAGGTAAAAATAAATAAGATGTTATTTATTCAAATTATTATACAATTTATTAATAAAAAATAGGTCATTCTGGTAATTTATTATAGGGTATGTGATTGATAACGGTTTTTTCAATATAAAATTAAAGTCAGTAATCTATGAAAAAACATAGCTAAAACCATTGCAAAAATGACCAACACTAAAATGACCGTAAAATAAAGACCCACTATGATGAGTGTGAGAATAATAAAAGACATACCCTTAAAATAACCACCATAAAGGAGATTAAAAAAAAAAAAACTACAACTAAAATAAAAGCAAGGCTACCGTAAAAAATGACAAAAGACCCACATGAAAGCGGCGAAAAAATCATTTAGGGAATTACACGAAAACACGGCACCTAAAAAAAAAATAGCTACAAAAAAAAATTTGAAATAATAAAATAAAACAAGATAAATAAAATAAAAAGTTAGAGTGACAAAAAGCTGAATTGTGCTCAAAGAATGCCAAGATGAAATTTTTTAAAATATAACTTATATAGCTTTGTAAATTTAAAGTCGTAGTACTTGTTAAAAAATGTACTGCAATAATAATAATACGACAGGGTGAAACTTGAGTTGCTAGTGAAAATCCGCTACAATTATCACAAAAAACATTAAAACGCGGATTTCACCCTAGCCTGATCTACGTAGCGGATTTTATCAGCTACGTAGCAACTTAGATTTCACCATGTTCTATAATAATAATAACAATTATACCTATTTTTTCTTCTATTAAATTTTTATTGTTTTATATTAAGCACCAATTAACCAATCTATATCAAGCGATCCACCGATCTATAATAAAATTCTAAACCCCTAAAAGTCCTCAATCATAACCTGTTCCTCACCATCAGATCTAACTTCATAAAAATCATAAAAATAATCATAATGTTGATACTTTAAAATTCCTTGATAAAGTAACCAAGAATGAGATCTATAATGAATATTTAAAATAGCGATTGGAATATCATCAACAATTTGAAGACTATAACTAGGTTTTGCTATCTCACAATCTAATCCTTCATTAAATTTTGTTTGATATTGAATATCTAATTGATCAATTGATTTCAGTAAATTCTCTTGATTACCTAGGAATGATCTTGGTCTATCTTCAAAAATAGATTGAAAATTTATAAAATTCCTCTTAGCTTTATAAAAATAAACGGTGATGGTACCAACACCTCCAGACTTAAGATTAGAGCTTGTATCATCTAAATACCCATTAAGAACATTGGAAGTTGAAGATTGAGAATGTTTAACGTTTGAAAAAGAAGTGAAATCGAATGAAAAGTTGTGTATTTTATTCCATTGAAAATTCCAAAATCCATCGTTAACAGTTGGAGAAGAGTCGATAAGTTCGTGACACGTAAAGTCGGTTATTCCGTCTACGTATAGATCAGCTCTAATGGGTGATCGAAATGTGGCATGGTTTGTGGATATTGCTACTGAATAGTTTTTATCAGGTTCAAGAACTGAAGCGAATGTAACGTATTTGCTATTTTTACGTGTCGCGAATGAAATGAATAAACCAATAATAAAGAAATAAAAAATTAATAAACACGATAAATTGATAAGTTATATCTTTACCAATATTTATATTCTCCTGTTAACTCATCGAATATGCAAGAGGGCTGAGTAGCCAATGACTAATGGTTTTTTTTCGATACAGTACGTGTATTAAAAGAAGTGAATAATTTAGAACGATATTTGAAAGAAAAACAAGAGAAATACTTTTAAGTTGTTTATACTTACTTTACACTCATCTAGAGGAACTTCACATTCTTGAAGAGGCTTTCCATCCATTAATATTTCTACACTGAAACCATCTAATCGCATCGTTATGTTGTTTTTTTTTCCAGTTGTTTAGGGGAACAAAAATGGTAAATTGTGAAAAGATGAATTTCAGGAGAAATGCGTAACTTTGTGCAGACAAACATATATATATATATGCGACCTGATGATGTCATTCGAAAAAAATAAAATAAAATAAATCATAAGACACAGATTTATGTATCTTGCGATTACATAAGATTTACATTTTTGTCTTCTAAGAATATGTAGTTTTATACATATTTACGTGGCAAATTAATTTACTGTAATTATTACTGTAATATAAACATATATGCAACATAATTAACATTAAAACACGTTTTTTTTTATTCGCTTTTTATTTTCTTGTCGGATAAATGAATTTCTACTTTAACGAATAATAGAAATTTTTATACTTTTAAAAATCAAATCAAACAAATTCATTTTAGAATCCACAGTATTATAACAGAATTTACTACCGTATATGAAATATATGAATTTTACGCGTCAATTAGATTATCGATTCGATTCGTGGATTCAGATAAATGGTTATTTCAGCGCGTTTTTTTTAGATTGTTAATTCGATTTATGGATTCAGATTGAGGTATATAAATGTTCTATAATCATTTATCCAGCGCGTTTTCTTTTAGACTGTCGATTCGATTCGTGGATTCAGATTGAGGTATATAAATGTTCTATAATCGTTTATTCAGCGCGTTTTTTATTTGTTGGACATTTATAGTAAATAAATGTTCCAAACAAAACTTGATCTCTTTAAATCCGATGTCCCCTTGTCAAAGGTACTTTATTATTTAAAAAATTTTTATTTAGGGACATATCATTTCCCCTTGAAAGCGTTAACATGCTAACAAAGTGAAATCAAAGGAGAACAAGGGAAATCAAAGTGGTTAATGAAAAAAAAAAGAATATTTTTTGGGCTTAAAATAATCAAAAAATAAACTCCACTAAACATTTCAATTACAACAAATATCAATTGATCAGTTAATTAAAAGATAATCCACCATTTCGCGATAAATGATAAAGTTGAGTATTCCCACAACCCCACATAGGTATGATGGTAATTACACCACATACTGGAACATCAGGAATTCTTAAAGAAAAAATAGCTCTTGACAAGTAAACGCGAACAGATTTTCCCACAATTGGTTTAACTAATTCTCTACTTTTATCAAAGATATTATGATATACATCCTTTCCTGGCATATCAACATCATCAATATTATATAAAGATGGCCCGTTTTCACATCCATAGTACAAGACATTATCTTCAAACATAGGTCGAAATGTTTTAGAAATTTGACGTAATGTGAATATGTCAGCTTGTTGTGTAAATTGAAAAAATGATTGTTGTGGTGAAACCAAATCCCAAAGAACATCAGTCGCGTGAAATTGGACAATTGAGTAACCATCTCTGTGTATTGATAGAACTATTTCTTTGTCGATAGTCAGATCTTTCGGTTTTACCAAACTTAAAGTAATATCTAATCGCCAATCTTCATTAAAAGGACTTTTAAAGAAAGTGCAAATAGGTAAAGTTTGTTTCTTTAAAGCGGGAAGTTTGTAAAAGTGAATATCGGCCATAAGATTCTGACGAAACAATTCAAAGGACATTCCACATGGAAGATTTGTCGGAGATAATGGAAAGATAGTATAACCTCTAAGATACCTTGCAATGATTGTAAAGATCTGAGGATCTCGATCTATACACATGGTAAAGGATGCACCTTTTCTTGATTCATTTTCTCCAAAGAAATATTCAGTAAATAAATTTGGAGAATCTCTCTTAAGACTTTTCAGATTAATAATAATGAACCAGTTAGTAAGATTTTTTAAGTAGATAATACGCGAACTATAATCATCTTTAATGTACCTGAACTCTGAGAACTGAAAAGTTGTACCACCAACGTTCACCGTATAGGATTGACAAAAAGACCCTTTGGGTAATGTTTGAAAGAGGACAATAGTATTATTTTCTGGTAGAATCGTGGTTTGTCTTTGTGTTGTTGAATTCATCGCGAATCTTTTAAAAACGAAAATTTTTTTTTAAAATCAAGTATTTACAATCTAGAAAAAAAAAGAAAATTATATATTTATAGGTAAAAAAAAAAACAAAAAAAACAGGAATAAACAAATAAAAATTGGATAATATTGTTTGTGGAACAAACAATAGGACAAAGGTATATGCGAGAAAGGAAAAATTGAAAAAATTTCTGCAACTGCGCTTATTTAATCTGATGTGAAGATATCCATGTGAAAAGATGACGTACGCGTTTGTTCTTATTTTAACATTCTTCAAATTTTTGACTCCAAAATATTCCCGATAAAATTTTGTGTTGTGTTATATACGTTATATATGTACGTAACGAGCTATAAAAAATTCCTGCCCAACATTTTTCGCGTTTATATATATGAATGGCGCCTATTCTATTTTTATTTATTTATTTATTTTTATTTTATAATTTTATTTTTTTATTTATTTTTTTTTTTGCATATAGACGTATCTCCAAGCATTTTGACATTTCCAACTTAATGAACAACATTACGGACTCATGTAGGCTTTATTATCGCAAAATTCGCGAAACTCGTAAAAAATTCGCACATCAGCCTATATCAATATCTATACAGGTATAAAATACCAAATAAAATTACTTGTAATGGTATCGAGCTAAAAAAGGAATATTCCCGCGTTTTTTTTTTACAAAAAAAATCATCCTCGTGATTCAAGTTGAACTGCATAAATGTTTATATGGAATCTCGATTCACCAAGTAATTCACCAGGATATTGTTTTTATTATTTTTTTTAGAAACAATCGGCAACTCCTGGTAAGGTGCACACCTAATAAATTGTGTTCATCCTTATTTATTAACCGCTAATTTTTTAATGAGTCCATTTACTGAAAAATTTACATATTAATGTCATCGTTTCGGCGAGATAAATAATAATACAGCATAAACCTCTATAATTGCATCGTTTATAACATTCAGTTTCTAATGATCTTCCGGTTTTCATATATATGTCCGGATCTTTATTTCCCTCTATATAGTGTCATGATGTTGAATTTATTTGTAGTTATTTAATCCTTGAATTAACCAGCTTAAGAATAAAATCGACATAGCATAAATATCGATGTATAAGAAAAACTTACTCAATTTTGAATGATGACATGTAAGTAAATGATGATAAACAAAATATATATCTCAATGCTTACTAATACTAAATAGAAGAGTTACCAATTGTAAATGATTAATAATATTCACAAAACCGACTAAACATAATCATGTTTAATTACTAAGATCTGAACGTTTTCCACTATTCATTATTGTTTGTTACTGCTGTCACCGTACGTACAGTACGTACGTTTGCGTATAAATTTTTATAATATGATCTTATTCAGTCAATCTTCAGCCAACTACAATTTGGCATCTTAAAAGACAGAATGGCGCAAATTAAAAATGGTGTAACGACGCGACTCAAAGACGATAGTTATGTCAAATATTAACAAATACGTATCGATATCAGTGGTATCCTTACATTAATTATCAGCATATCTGATGCTGTGAAACTGAGTTAACGCTAATTACCACCGTAAAAGTATTCAGCTAGTAAATTTCAAGTACTTATACATAAAAGGTAAAATATACACCTCTAGAAAGAACGAGAAGTCGTCTACGATTTCAAATTTTGAAAGTTTCTAGCCTAAATTAGAAAGATATTCCTAAAGAGTTTCAAATCGTAAAATTTTCTGAACGTATATGCTAATCGCGATAGCCAAAGTCATTTTAAATCGTATGATTTTTTCTGTATGATAACTTAGCAGAAACTTGAATTTTTGCCATTTATGATTTTCATATGATAGTTATATAACTATTATATGATAAAAATATGACAAAATTATATTAATAAAAAAATATAATAAATATGTAATAAACATATATTAAAAGTATTATTATAATACTTTAAACATATTTTTGTAATTCTGTTAAGTCACTATTAACACGAT